CACCGAGCATCGGGAGGCTTTTGACAGGGGCAAATACAGCCTCCTTCAGACACCAATAGTTGCGTTGCCAGACCCGATCTTCCTTTTAGTGTCGTCTGTGACGCTTAAGACGTTGCCATCGGCTGGGCACTGCTGCAAGCAGACGCCGAGGGGCGAGGTTGGGTGATCGCGTTGGAATCACGCCAGCTTAAGGCTTGGGAGTGGAAGTACCCAGCCCACAACAAGGAATTACTTGCGATGAAGTATGCACTTGTCAAATCCAGGGTGCACCTGCTTAGCTCAAAGCCGTTCGTGATCTACCCAGATGATGTGTCATTACGCAGTTGTCTCACCTCTCGCAGAGAATGGGCCAGGTGACTTTCATTCTTTGCAGAAAATAACTTCGAGTTGAAGCATCAGCCATGAAAGCAGAATGCTTTGGCTGATGCGTTGTCATGCAGAGCGGACTATGAGCTTGCTCATATCATGACGGTGACGTCGTCAGTGACGGATTTGATCCGCGCCGCATACGCGGGTGATAGTATGTATGCGGCGCTGCTACAGGCCCTCTGGAGCAAGGAGTTTTAAAACTTGGTCAAGAAACTGTCGTCGCCTTTGCGCGCACGGTTACACCGGTTTTTGTTGGATAACGGGTTGCTATATTATGCCACGGATTCAACGAATACGCCACGAATTATGGTTCCTCACGATGAGGATTTAAACTACAGTAATCTCTATGAGGCCCACGAAACCCCACTTAGTGTTGATTTCGGTCGTGGGAAGACATACAGCTCGGTGATCTGCATAAGCTGAACAAGTAGAAAAGCACATATGTGTCCACGTGTAATACGAGTTAGAGAATGAAACTCTCCCCGAATGCGGCGGCGCCGCTGGGCCAGTAACCGGTACCCTCCGGGTGCTGGCAGTTCATGAGTATGGACTTTGTGTTTGGCCTCGCGATGGACCTGGTAGGCATCACGGGTGTGGTGTCTTTGTGGACCGTTTGGGCAAGATGGTTTTGCTCGCGGCAGTGCCGAAAACCATCGACGGTGATTCCAGCGACGTTGTCTGTAGATCGTGTCTTTCGACAACATGGA